TGAATCACCTTGAGTAACCAGTTAAATTCTGTCTAAATTTTAAAAGCTCTGACTGACACACTAAGGGAAACCCCTTGTATTTTTCAAACAGTGTACGGGGAATCCCCATATCTTTTGAATTATTTTAGTTTTTGGCATGATTCCTGTTCACATTAAATCTAGCTCTGTCTGTAATGTAGCACAATACCCGTTTCTTGTGAAGATGCTAATGAATATAGCTTGGAAACATTTTTGTATAGTTCGTATGTTTATTTAGGCACAAAATAAAGAATATCGTCACATAATTTAATACATGCTAGTTGTTAGGTCATTTTTTTATTCTAACAGCTTTTTAGAAAAAAGAGGCCATTTGTGATTTTGGTCCAACCCGCTTTGTTTGTTTGTTTGTTTGATTTTGTTTAACGTCCTTTTAACAGCTAAGGTCATTTAAGGACGGCCTCCCCTGTGTGCAAGATGCATGCGTGTAGTGTATGTGTGTGTATTTTGGGAGACTGCGATATGTTCGTGTTTATCTCCTTGTGATAGCGCAGAAGTGATGCCGACTTTATAGTACTACCTCACTGAAACATACTGCCGAAGACTCCCAGCAGGACATCCCAGCTGGTCACATTATACTGACAACGGGCGAACCAGTCGTCCCACTCCTAATTTGCTGAGCGTTAAGCAGGAGAAGAAACTACCATTGTTAAAGACTTTGGTATGTCTCGGCCAGGGGACAGAACCCAAAGCCTTCCTCACAGGGGCTAACGCTCAACAAATGGCCAAAAGTGAGGCATTGTCAAGGGAGACATTAGGAAGAAGAAAGTTATTTAGAAAGGAGAGAAGAGATAAGGTCCCAAGTTTAGTCGTTTCTTACTATCATGCAATTGGGGGCAGCAGGTACAATTCTTACGCCCTACCTGCAGGGTCTGGCCCAACTCTTAACTTCCTTACATCTCATATACCTTAACTTCATATCATATTCTGATGGCATAACCATAGGGTACACGAAAAGGAAATACTAGTGAGTTTTGCTACTTAACTGCATCACATACAACCAACAGGTCACTATATAAATATATATATGTCTTTATCCATAATATACTCTTATCATGCATTTGTTGTCACATCTTCGCCACCATGCCCGATGTCCATATCCAGCATTTTGCTATTTGTAGCAGGGCTAACGCTCCTGCATAGTCCTGTGATCATAACAAACCGCTTAGCTAATACCACTGACATATAGAGTTTCAGTAAAGGTATCAGTCTCGCTGAGAATATCAAACTTTCATATTTCGTCATACACAAACTAGAACTTCTCCACCCGGGAAATTAAATGAAATTAAATCTGGAAAACGATGTATTTAACTGATTTTAAGGAAACAATTTGAAGTTAAAATGTTATGTAATTGTGACAAAATAAATACATAACTATAGAAAATATGGCCTGGTTAATGAAGTTCTTTAGTGTTAATAGTAAAACCAAGTTGATATGTTGATAAATCAAAACCATTGTATAGAACACGTTTTATTGTTCCGATTATATATTGTCAAACACATGAATTAAATATAAAAACAGAAAAGGAAACCAATGTATTATTATTAACACTTACTTCCATATAAAATACAATAGAAATACAACAGTAAAGTTGCCAATGATTTAATTTAGGATGAATATCCTAGTAGGTAAATTGTTCGTTTTCCTGCATACAATCCTTTGTGTTTTATAGAGAATGAATGTTTGTTAATAAGCCATCTGTACGAGGCGTCGTAAAGTACTGCGTGTATTATATGTCTCTTCGTCCGACTGTTATTTCTTATTGACCGCCGCATACCTTATCATCACTGGTGAAACTTGAAATATAGATTGCTAAGTCATATAGAGCTTTCCAACCCTGGCAGAACCCATCAAAATTTTGGGAAAAAATCGTACTTCATACACACAAACCCGCTTAAGGCTTCTTGAAAAGGAAAATAAAGTTTGGACATAATAGCTTCACACGACTATCTTTCTAGTAATTACTAGCTATATAGAGAATCCCATGAGTTTCCATTTTGCGAGCCTCTGCCGAGTAAAATTAAAACATTCTTAACGAGTTTCATCAATGACATATCAAATGGAAACGGATGTGAAATTCTGTTTATCACATAACGTAAAACAATTGACAAAACATCACTTTTAAACATTTTTTGATACTCCTTCTTTTTCAATGGTAACCGAATAACGGATAAAAGAATATCATTCCACAGAATGCGATGAAACATAATTCCCCAATCTGTACATAATTTTACAGCAGTATCAGCTCATTTTATTATTTAAATTGCCAGCTTTTGTTTTGACTTTGAAGACTTACATCGAAATACGTATTTGTTATTAGACAACGTTTTTAACTCGACGACCTAAAAAATGACCTCGTCAGACTGGCAGACCGGCGCATCATAGCCGGATTAGCCACTGTCGCTGTCTAAAACGATTCTTCTTCGTTTATTGGCTCTTGGATGACTGACGCTGTCCTCTTTTGGAACCACATTGATATGGAAGTGTCCTCCATACACAATACTAGCAAACATTGTGTGAAGTCCTCCGAGAATATTCATTGATGAGGCCATGTTCGTGGCTTTGTTTTGGACTTTTGGACGGTGTTGTTACAAATCGGAGTCAACTGATACTGTTGACATTGTTGAGGCGAGAGCCATGGTTCCTCATGGGACGGATAATATGCGCGAAATGATCTTGTGCTGATCAAGTTAATTTGACTGTAATTGTTTACGGTTTGTATATTTCTAAGACCCGTTATCTGCATGGTTTGGTTGATATTCCCGGAAACATAATGCCTATAGTTTCATACGGTTTTCCTGGCATATCAATCGCAAAATCCACTCCGTCCACCTACACTGTGTACTTGTAAGGTCCTTTAATTTAACTAGTATGTTTTTCGCGAGACCACTGTTGTCTTTAACGACTATTTCATTGATTGTGAAAGTAGCCATTTTTTACTATATATGGCACGTAGTAAAAAAAGGAGTCGTAGTAAAACAAGTTAATTATATTTACAGTCTACGCCACGCGTATAAACAAACACAAATGTGTATAGACTGACCAATCAAACCCCCCAAGGTGTTATTACACGTGCATATCATCCATAACAATATTTATGTAATGGGTGGCATTACACTCACAACAAGGTAGTCATGTGATAAAGGTTTATATGAGGGCATTTATGAATATGGAGAGTTGCAGCATATTGCAACGGGCAACAGCAAATACATTTTGACAATATGTCATTTTATGGTATACAGGTTATGGAACATGCGTATTGCTTCACCACCTTATAAAACCTTAATGCTCTCTGGAAAAACCCATTGTATGAGCTGAGGTGTTTCAGCGGCAATATCAACAAACTAACAAAGGCACTAAATATATGACAGGACATTACAAAAGTTATTGCGTTAGTTATTGAAACGTATTGATACTATGTTGTCACATAATAATACTGATTAGTATATGCTTGAACATTTCTCGCAATCACATTGGTCTGACCCAATACACGTAACCAGTCCTCAAAAACTCATGTTAACTGGTTATCCGGTGAATATCGATTTCTAAATGAAGCATATGTGGAAATTCCCCGGAAAATGTCGTAGCGCAGGCGCAGTTAGACCGGAACGCGATCTGTCAAACGACAACAGAAGATGACTGGCGAACGTTTAGTCTCCTCCGTTACATCTGAAAATTCCAAAACTATTTGAGGTGTTTGGAAGTGAAATTGATCTCGTCTTCGCCTCGGTTAATATCACTCTTTCAGGGTCATATCACATCATATTCACCAGCACAAAGGTCCATTATTTTTTTCAGAAATTAAAGCCTAGAAAACGATAATAATATTTGAAAGTCTGGTTGCAAATGTAAGTAAACATATTTTCCTGCTACAATATTAATAAACCATCATTTTAAAAATGTGTTGTGGTTGAGAAAGTCCTATTGTGCTTATATACTGTAAGAAAAAAGAAACGCAATCAGAAATAATTTCCCGATGTTATGATGGTGTAATTGGAAGAAAAGGGGATGATCCACCTCATCGGGGTTTTATTCCTCATACAGCTTCATCGCCAACTGAACAACATTGATTGGAGGATGCAGCTTACGTCTTATTCTTCATTAATGAAAAATCAGGGCTGTTTGGAGGCCAGTCACGATGGACCTACGCTACATGTGATCGGGCGTTGCATTTCTTGAACGTCGTTGACATTGCTGCAGTAGGGAAGCGACATGCTTTACTAGAACATGATCTCTAGCGGGTGACTGTGACATTTTTCTGAATGAAAACCGGGCAAGTCATGATACGATGCGCAATACCTTCCCATATCTTGACCGATACTCCACCAAAACGATCATGCTCGATCACGCAAGCATCTGAAAAGCGCTTGTGGACGCGGCTATAGACACAACGCCGGCCATTTACTCGGTAAAACAAATCCTGGACTCATCGGTTTTAGATTGCCCTATCCTGACGACGTGTAACGTTGTCACACGAAAGCCGCTACTCTGGAGACGGTCAGCAATCCACCCCGTGGCATGGATTCTTAATATGAGACGTTAAATGGTCGATGGAACGACTCCAAAATGATTAGCGACCTCAGAAAGTCGTGGCAGTTAATGCGGGACTTATTTGTTTTTAAAATTTTAAGAGATTTTGAACCAATAATACATACCGGGTTTGACATCCCAAACTTTGATATCTTTTATTTGTACAGTCGACACGAGTAGCTATGTTATGCATCAGTGATTTTGAATGATGCACCTTACGAAAGAAACCACAATGCAAAAATCTGTGACGTGTAAAAGGACTTTGTCAACGATCTACTTTATAATGATATTGTGTTTTTTTGTTCAGTATAGCACGTACAAAATATGTATATTGATATGTTGACACGATAACAAACCATTTGTATTGTGTAAGACACGTTTTATTGGTCTGATACATGTAAGATATATACAAACAAATGTGTTATATCAAGGAAACAGAAATGAAAACCAATTGTGTAAGTAATACTTTGTTTGAATACTGTTGTTGAAAAAGTGTATTTTTTTAAGATATAAGCTTTTTCAATCAAATTAACATATAAGAATATCCTTTCATTCAGAAAGGATTCTTGGTTACACGTTCTTTTACAAAAGACTGTATCTGCTCAAGCTATAGTTAACACGTTGGAATATCTTTTCAATTATTTATAATTATAGGTTTCATGCTACTTTACAAAAAACTTTTCAAGCTATAGTTAACACATACGAATAATTTTTCATTTAATAATGATTCTATGTTAAGTGTTATTTTACAAAAAAACAATCTATCTGCTCAGTCTATAGTTTACACAAATAAATATCTTTCATTCAGAAATTATTCTAGGTTACATGTTACTTTACAAGAAACTCTATCTTCTCAAGCTATAGTTAACTCATACGAACGTCTTGTCATTCAGTTATGATTCTATGTTAAATGTTATTTTACAGAACAATCAATCTCGTCAAGCTGTAGTTTATATTCACGAATAACTTTTCATTCAGTAATGATTCTAGGTTGCGTGTTATTTATAAAACAATCTATCTTCTCACAATGCAAATTCAAAACCATTTCTTCGGAGAAAAAAATATTTTATTTTATCTTTACTTTTGCTTCTAATCGTTGTTTTTCAAAACGGTTCTTCTTTTCCTAAAATGCGTGTACAAATGACTAATTTCGTCCTATTCAAGGATAGTATCCAGGGATTAAAGTAAAGTGTTTCCCAAAGATTTTTGGTCTCAAAGTAAAAAGAGATTTAATTCTTCGATGACAGAGATTAAAAAAGCCAATTGAATATAAATGAATATGTTGTCCTCAAATTGATTAACTGATGAATTATTTTTTTTGCAAAATTAAGAATGATATAATACCGATAATGGTGCCTGTAGCCGCAGCTGATATGCTGCCAAACCATTTCTTCTGTGTTTTCTCACCGGCTTTTTTTCGAGCAGTAGCCCCGTCGATAAGTTCCTTCCTATAATCGCCAATTGTTCTCTTGAATTCTTCACGTCTTTTTTGTATGCGTTGGTCTTCTCCAGATAATCTTTCCATTTCTTGTTCTACCAGTCTAATTTTTTCATTGACTTTAACATTTGCTTTCAGAATTTCTTCCATGTTTTCTGCAACCATCTTAGATATCTCAACAGACAACGCAGTGCTGTAATACTGACTCTCTCCGCCATTTTTTTTGACAACTTCTTTGACCATGCTGATAATATTTTCTGCCGCCTGTTTCCTTTCATCACGTTTACCTCTGTTAGATATAGCAACAAAACCCCCTTTACAGGACGCAATCATTTGTCTCACTGGTTCCGGTAGCTTAGATATATAATCCTCTAAAGTTTGTTCATCAGCGACAAGTGTATCTTTTCCTGTAAATACAACAACTGTGTGATTTACAAATTTTTCGCAAAATAGCTCTCTCACTAACTCAATTGCCCTTTTATCTTCGTCGATGTATCTATGCTCCACCTGAAGCACAAGGAGGAGAGCATGGACCCCGGGATAGGTTAAACAGGTACAAGATACGAGCTGTTTCACAAGTTCTTCTTGGGACATATTGGTGTCCAAAAACCCTGGAGTGTCTACGACCACAAGATTTTTGCCAAATCTGTTTCGCTGTACAACCGTGCATTCCGTGGTAACAGACTTGGAACTTCCTTTAGATTTAAAGACATTCTCACCAAGCAGAGTATTTCCCGTGGCGCTTTTGCCTGTTCCAGTTTTCCCGATCAAAACAATTCGTAAATCTCCTGATATATCTGCAATGTGAATAAATATGTTTTATAAATTCAGTACACTTTAAAGGGAAGCTAAACTTCTATCATGTTGCAGGCCCAAACTTTATATAAATAAAACAAAATTCTTGGTCACGCTGTATTTTACATTAGTTTTGTAATCAAATTTTGACTTGCACAGTAGACGTTTAAGAAAGCCGATGTGAGCAAGAAGGATAATAATACCGTCCGTTACAACAGTCAACTCTACCAATTTTAACATGTTTCCACTTATGAAAGTTCATGAAGAAATTTTATAGAATAGCAAGTAAATGAAACCTCATTTGGAGAAGAAAGTTATAATTAATTGCAAGACTTCAAGGTCTACTGTGCCAATCAAAATTTGATGACAAACTTTGTGTAAATTACAGCTTGACAAAGTGTACCAAACCGAGATGTGGCATAATTGTTAAATGTTAGTCGTTTGTTTTCAAGAATGACAAAGCATTTGAAAGGAGATGTAATATGAATTGCAAATAAAACAAGAGGCCCTGAATCGCTCACCTGGTATTAATCTCATACTTGTAATCTTAAAAGTGGATTAAAATACTGCTACAGGCAGAATATCAGTGTTTGATTCATAAGAACCTATCGAAAGATTTAAGCATATGACGCCTGTGACCAAGAATGTCGAACAAGGACATTAAGTTGAACAGAGTATATTGTTTTCCAACCCAGCATGCTTCTGGTAAAATAGCATTCACCCTGGACCTTTTGGTTATACAGAACGAGCCATTTAAAGATTTAAACACATATTTAACATATTTTGCTAATTGCAAAGTCTTTTGAAAGTTTTAAACATATTTGACCCCTGTGACCCTGAATATATGTCAAGGTCATTCACTTGCACAAACTTAGTAGCCCTTCACCCTAGCATGTTACTGGCCAAATATCAGCCTCCTAGGTTTTTGGGTTATTGAGAAGAAGTTGTTGAAAGGTTTTAAACATATTTGACCCCTGTAACCTTGAATATAAGTAAAGGTCATTCAATTAAACAAACCTGGTAGCCATTTATCCCAGCATGCTACTGGCTAAACTGCATCATCCTAGGACTTTCGGTTATTGAGAAGAGGTTGTTTAAAAGTTTTTAACATATTTGACCCATGTGACCTTGAATTATTGTCAAGATCATTTATTTGAACAAAGTTTGTAGCCCTTCATCCCATCATGTAACTGGCCAAATATAATCATCCTAGGCCTCTTGATTATTGAGAAGAAGTTGTGTAAAGATTTTAAACATATTTGACCCCTGTGACCTTGAATATTAGTAAAGGTAATTCATTTGAACGAACTTTGTAGGCCTTCATCCCAGCAAATTACAGACCAAATATCATTATCCTAGGCCTCTTGGTAATCCAGAAGGAGTTGTTTAAAGGTTTTAAACATTTTTTAAACATGTTACCTTGAATATATGTCAAGGTAATTCCTTTGAACAAACTTGGTAACTCTTCATCCCAGCACGTTGCTGGCCAAATATCATTGTCCTAGGCTTATGCATTATTCAGAAGAAGCCATTTTAATGTTTTAAAGATATTTGACCCCTATGACCTTGAATATCAGTAAAGGTCATTCGTTTGAAAGTTGGTAGCCCTTCATCCCAGCATGTTACTGACCAAATATTATTATCCTTGGCCTTTTGGTTATTGAGAAGAAGTTGTTTAAAGGTTTTACACATATTTGACCCCTGTGACCTTGTATATAAGTTAGGTCATCCATTTGAACAAACTTGGTAGCCATTCAGCCCAGCATGCTACTAGCAAAATATCATTATCCTGGACATTTTGGTTATTCAGAAGAAGTTATTTAAGGTTTTAAAATATTTAACCCATGTGACATTGAACATGAGTGAAGGTCATTCATTTGAACAAACTTAGCAGTCCTCCATGCCAGTTTGCTTCTGACCAAATATTATCACCTTTTGGTTATTCAGAAGAAGCTGTTTAAAGTAAAATATTGACGCGGACGGACGACAGACGGACGACGGACGCCGCACCACGGCATAAGCTCACTCGTGATTTGTACGAGATGCTCTGGATTTTACATAGGACCTTTTTCTCTCGGTTACAAGCTAACGGGAAGGATATGGAATTGCAATAGCATATTTGATTTAAGTACCTACTGTTTTCTATGTAATTTTTGTTGTATTATTAGTTCATATGACCTTTTGTCTCTGTTATATGCCGTGCTATTTAAATATTCGTGTTGCTGTCTTGGAAAAGGGGCGGATCGCCCTTAAAATTTCTGTCGTTATTTCTTCTTTTCCCATAAAACTATTTAAGTAATACACATCCAACAAACATTTGTGTGTTTAGATCCAGTGCCCATATTTAAAATTAAAAAAAAAATCATAATTATAGTTAAGGATACAATTATGCATGTTTTGTATCGGTGGAAGAATTAGTGCCTAGCGATTACCCGGAGGAGTTTTCGGGCGACCAGCAATTCGTCAATTGACTTTTTATATAAAATGATCAATGATGTCAGGGGAAGTAGCTCGGTAAGTCGTATCTTTAAAATCTCAGCCGGCTTAGAATGTACCTGACTATACGACAAGGATAGCTCAACATCAGAGCCCATTTTATGTTCTAATAAAAATAACATTTTGTTTAATATCAATTATTGCCCGTTTGACATTATGAATTATTTACGTTATAATCACATTTTTGGTCACAGTAATTTTATCTTGAATAAGATTATTTAAATGATAGTACTATCAGCTTTATGTATTTGTTATACTTTTGTAATTATAAACAATTTATCAACCTTCTAATATTGTTAAATTATATCATAAGAAAAACATATTGGACGTTAACGTTTTGATTTGATATTGTATGTTTTTAAATAGAAGGTAAAAAAGTTTTTCACAACTCCGTGTACGTGCCATCACTGAGATAAGTTTTTCCCTTTACTCAAAACTCCATTATCAGCTCTCGAAGATTCGACTTTCTTTTTTTCTTCATCAATATATACCTGTCGTTTTCAGATGCATTTTTCCTGTACCTTGCTTTTTCTTATAATTTAACACAAGATATATCAGAGGAACTCTCTTTCCATTCCCTTTCCTATCCTCCATCCTCTATTTTCCGTCTTTTACTCAAATACAATATGATAGTCATATACATGTATCACGTAGTCCTCAAATCTCATTTGTTTTTTAATCAATTGCAGATGGCTTTATACAAATTGTAAAACCTTTTTCAACAATAATGATCTGTTTTATAATATATTGTAAACGCAAAAAAAGAATTTACGTAAAAAAAGACTGATGCTAATTCCGTTTTGCAGCCTCAATTATAACCTATATAAGGAAGAGACGTATAAAGCCAGGGTTACGGTGTATACGTCTCTGCATAAGGTTTATATTTATCTGAAGTCTATTAATATATATTCAATCACTTTCCTTTTGATATTATTAAATATTATTTGCATCATTATTAAAACAAGATATCCCAGAGGGGTTTCGGCGCCCACCATCGTACCATCTTCATTAGTTCTATGTCAATTTGATTTTTCTTTTCTTTTTTCCTTATCTGTTTGATCTGTTTGTCTGTTCCCCTTCTTAAACAGTCTTTTAAAAGTTAACGTGCACAACCAATCATCCCCAAAATTTGAAATGCCGAACTAGGAACCATGGGGGCCCTTCATGTGAAATTCAAGAAAGACCCCTACTGTACAATCTGAGAAATAACGCTAACACACTTTTATTCTCAAATTAATGATGTCTAGCTATTTACCATCTTGGTTTGTGATCAGACCCAAAATACGGTATGCAAAACAAGGGACTATGGGGAACCTTCAGGTGAAACTTAAGAAAGATCCCTCGAATACTTTCTGATAAATAGAGCTACAAACTTGAACTCTCAAGCTAAAGCAGGCTTGCCGTCGGCCGTCTTGGGTTGGTATCAGTCAAAAAAATAAAAAAAAATATGCATAACTAGGGACCATGGAAACCTTCATGTGAAGTTTCAGAAAGTTCCTTCTAGTACATTTTGAGAAATAGCGCTAACAAAAATTGTTTTATAATTGTTTTATTCTTTAATGAAGCATACACGATACAAACATTATTTGAACTAAATGCAGAATTTTAAAAAGTGTAATTGAATTTTCTATGAGATGAACAGTTTCCAAAATTTTTTAAATATAAGAATTGAACTGCTTTCAGTTTGCATTCATAGACAGAATGAATGTCAGCTGAAAGCAGTTCAGTGCTAAAAGGTCTCATAAGTAGTAACGATAGTTTGATCAAATATTTTCACTGGATCCGAACAAACAAACACAAATTGTCAAATTTTAGGACGATCTTCCCCTTTATCAAGACAGAAACATGAATATTTACATATCACAACATATCACAGAGATAAACAGTCATATTGAAATAATAAAACAATAAAAAAGCATAAACCAAACAAGAAATATGTCAAAATGACATGAAAGTCACCACATCATTCTGTATGATCATTTTCCGATAAATCATTGACCAAGCTACAACGGATATATTTCCACCTGTCCATCAAAATGGTAAACAATGATCAGGTGTAAATACATCCATGCTGTTCAGATAGACATGCCAACACATGGAATTAATAAGAAAGGATGTCGTAAATATAACGTTTGCGTTGACTGACACCTCGAATACGGGGAGATCTGCGCGCTGACACAGTCACCTGGCATGGACAGAACAGGTAATTGGAATATAACGATGTTGTTTTCACAACAATAAGTTTCAGAAAAGATTCAATCTTATATACGGATAAATCTTCTCCTTTTTTGTTCGCTATGATATACACTTTTCCAAGTAGTTTTCTGATCATTTGCAAATCAGACTGATTCGGTCATCGATATCCGCAGAATGTGTACGCTTAAAGGCAGTCACTCCGACGAGGACCGCCAACAGCCGAATTCGCGAGACATGAAGAACACCAAACAATCGTGATTTCAGCAATTCTCCTTCGAAAAGAAAAGATCGGAATGTATTTGGCTGTTTTGAACCCGTTCATATTTAATTTTTCAAACTCAAACTTTAATCATTATCGGTTCAATTCGCACGGATGTAACCTTGTAAATTCCTGCCGGTTAATGGTACAGTATCACGCGACCCTGACTCTTTGCGGTACACAAACTTCCTAACTTCGTCACTTTACCCAGGTCGTTTCTACACATTCATACTGCCAGGATTGAAGAGTTCAGCATGCTTTTACCCAGTAACGACATTTTAACCACAGTGAGTGATAAATGCGATGCAGTTCTTCGTTATGTTTCCCGATACGTGGTATTTATCAATTCACAACGTATCGTCCTGAAAAGAGAGTATTTATCCGATTCTATAGTATAATATCACTTAAACTGCAACTTTTCGTAATTGTTAAATTGGCAATGCAATCAGGGAGTAATCAACAAAATTTAGCAGTTTTATTGCTACGAGCATATTTCAAAACATTTCCGAAAATCCTCGAAAATTTTACGAGAAATGGTCACGACCAAGGACTGGTTGGATTATTCTTTAGAATCGTGTACACCCCTTTCTTAACACTTCATTTTTCCCTTACAAAAGTGCGCATTATACGCAAATATTAACGGTAGTCGTTGGTCAGACATAAAATATCTAAATCAGTCAATAGCAATTTATAATACGACGGTTTACCCCTTCGGGAACCTCAAAGGTGCCTGATTCATACTCGGAACATCTTAAGGTTATATGTAATTCCCGTGGGAAATTTGGAACGCCTTTATATTTTATTCTATTCCTGTTTAAAAAGGAAATCAATGTCTGAGTTATCCAAGAGCTTGTAATTAGCACCTGGTATATTACGACAGAAGCAACACATTTAACAGCCCAAGACAACAGAGGTCAAAAACTGAGACTGAAACCGAAATTAATATTCCCAATTGGGGTTCCCCCAGGGGTGACTAAAACAGAAGTTCCTTATATGAAATATGCTGCTGTAATTGAATATTCCTTCGGTAAGCTTGTCAACGAATATTAATTATTGTTAAGTATTTGAAGTCAAGTGAATTAATACCAAAAAATACTGAAAAAAGTCTAGCGAGAAAAATGGATGTTGTGGTTGTTCATGTAAACACTATGTGATAAAACTTCGAGAGATTTTACGTCAGGATAGCAAGCGGGGTCACTCCCACTCGACCAGGAGGTAAATTTATAACAGAGGTCAAAAATGGAAAAGTATGGGTAATGTGATAGTAACTTGATAAAAAATGCTGGTACGATTTATTATCTGGGTTTTAAAGATCAACATTAGAAGTTAAAAATAAATCTTACCTTCGCCATTATTCGAAACTTCTTTCCTTGATGGATCGGCATTGCGATCATATGGTTCTAAAGCATCTTGTGCTTGTGAACCGACACCAAAGCCAGATGCTGCAATGGTATCTGATGTCTGGTTTTCCGTGGCTTCTGTTTTAACAACTGTGGAAAAACGTGTTTTATCAAAACCTACTGTGATCGTATATAATGAAATAGTGTTCTCCAAATAGACTCTTACATACAACTTCATTTCATGGCTAGTAGCATACCTCAACCTTACTGACACTTTAAACAACAGTCACTTACTTTCTATTACTATAATTCAATTTGTATCGCTTGTTAAACCGTCAGCATTGAAATCAAGCGCTACGGCTGGTTAAATCTCTGTTAGTATAAACTGACCGGTTGGAATGCTGTTCTTTGTGCCTTTCTTTGTTGAAATGGCAAACTCTTAAAGTTTGCTTTAGAACCTTGAAACTATGTCGAGGCAAATGCACAAGCACGTAAACATATTTTATATTGCATATCTAGAGGTACAATTTAAACTACCTTTATGACACATATTCCTTGAAACAAAACAAACTTGATTTCCATTTCGTGACTATAAGTTTATTTTCCACAACTAACATTCGATAATGGCGAGGTTGCTTTGTTATTTGGTTTTTGGTTTGACCTCGACCGATATTTAGGCGACGGGTCATATCTTTGAAACGGTTGATATCCCCACCCTAAAACCACATACTGACATTTCCTGGGCATGATGAAACGAATGCATCTATGCTATTTGATTCCTCCGGGGTTTGTAATAACCCCTGGGGACTTAGTCCATTTGTCATAATATGGAAATAGCTGGGATCCTCACCCCATAACCATATATTTACATTTATGGTAATGCGCCGTCCCATTACAACAGTGTTAGAGGGCAAGTGTAATTATATAGGCTATAATTACAACTGCTCGACTATAATTTCAACTGCCTGTTTCAGGTGTAGGAATATGTAAACAAACAAAATGGCCGCCTGAAATGTATTTTGAGGCAGGGCAAATTGTGTTTGTAGGAATTTGTCTTAAAAAAGAAACATATGTAAATATAAAAAATACCTGGTTGTCTGGATGTAATAATTGTTGATATAATTACAAGTGACCTTTGGCAAATCTACCATAAAACCCTAGCATAAATACCATTTGCCCTGCCTCAAAATACATTTCAGGCGGCCATTTTGTTTGTTTAAATAACGTACAAATGCTGGGTATGCAGAAACCATTACACTCTCATTCTATCTGGATTAACCAATCTTGTCATAAAGCTCACGTTAGTGAACATTCAGAAACTTGACCAGGTTTCAGGCAACCATCCTGATCGTGATTTCAAGAATTAGTTTGTTATATGTGTTTTTGGTTGTCTGGCAGGCATCAAAGACAAGAAAGACAAGCTTACTTCTTCGTTTGTTTGTAAACATTTTCTTTTGGCAAGCCCGGAGTCACCGAGGAACTTCTTAATAAAGAGGTAAATGAGCAAATTCCGACAACTGAGCCCCATCAGTTCTCGAAAAACATATGTGTACAAGACTGATACCAATTTGTTTATGAAAGTTGTAACTTTATGTGGAATACTAACTCTAGATTGTTAACTACCTAGTGTTGATGAAGACACTTTGATTAGATACATTTGTATGTATCATATTGTGATAAGCGTTTTTACTTATTAAGTATTCCACAATTAAACGTTATCTTGCTGATGTCAGATTCCCATACATAAAAGCTGGCACAACAACCCCTTAAGAAATTGAGAAATGTTCAAACCTGGCACAGATTTAACATGGCTTTGTATGCGCCGGATAGCTTTTTGTTTAGGTTTAATAAGGTGTTGTGAATTTATTATAGACACTAGTGGTATATTTAAGGCCTTTGTATTAGTGTCATCATTTTTGCTAAAGATAAGTAATTTTATACAATATTTTTGAAAGGTTTAAAACCAGATCCGTTCAGTGTAGGTGTGTACTAGTGTTTTTTTTAAAGGAGGTACTTTAGATCTGTCCAGGAGCTACACTAAATATCTATAATTCTTCTTGCAAGGTATTAGGGAAAATCACAGAAGCAGTTGTGTTTCTACAACCAACTAGTCAATAAGTAATAGAAAAGTGTTATTTTTTAATAATGTGACACCATACATATACATACATTTATATTTACTTTGTTTTTGTTATCTACTGACATCTTGAGGGGCACTTGTATTTCTATGTTATCAAATACTCGTTTGGTCTCTCAAGTTGTTGGGGACAACAATTTTATTCCCGAAATTCTGAGATAATTTTGAGAAAATTACATTCATAAATGCATAACACAGGTGTTCATAGAATCTCAGCACGTGGGAACTGATAGTAACCTGATCACACTGCGTAGTAATACACTACAAAAACTACTCACTCGGAACGACCAACCTAGATGCTTAATTATTACATCTTAAAATATTATTGAACTGTGCTTTGTGAAATATCCACGTATTCACGTGTCCTGTGCTACAAATAAACATTGAATATGGAACTACATTTTGTTGTGTTATTGTTGTTGACGGTTGCTAAGATCTCTCACGATAGTGTCACATTTCCCCGCGAAAAAACACTGTTCTCGCCACTGCGTTGCACCCGTGTATAAGCAGGAACAAACCCTGTTTATTTGTTTTATTCGTTGTTATATCGATCCACTGAAAGGATTCGTCAATGTAAATATAAGGAATGATATTTATTTTTTCAACATTTATGAGGTCATAACAACAATGGGTTTTTGGACATATTTTACATGAATCGCTAACGCGATTCATTCAATATGTCCATAAACCCATTGTTGTTATGACCTCATAAATGTTGAAAAAATAAAAATCATTCCTTAAATATATAAATAGAGTTCTACGAGTATCCCCCGAGAGGCCGCTGTTAAGTTTTTTGTAGGGTTGGAAGATAGGATAAATGACGTTTTGTATAGTGCTGCTGTATATCTTTTGCATATGCTTATGTGGAACATTGTTAGTATAATGTGTAATAGTGATAAAGTATGATTGAAATCGAAGGTTATTATGTCTTCCTGTATTGTGCTTAAAACGTTTATTTACATTGTATGTGTTTGTCTGTCTTTAGAGGATTGTAATAATAAATTGTATGTATGTATTTTCTGGTGTGTGCAATACATTTGGTAGTTCATTTACACCTGTTTGTATATTATTATATTTATCTATATATATCAATATATCTAAGCCAAAAAATAACAGCGTCTTCAACCACCCGTGTTCCAACACAGGACGTTTGAGCTTTGCTATGATTAGTAAATTGCCTTTTCCCCTCAGCAAAACATATTGCAAAAATGTAAATTGGTAATTATTCCTCTTTATGTGAAAACGGAAGATCAGTGACTTGTTGTATTGTTATTTATTGCGTTATAAATAGTCGTTATATTTCGTTGATATATTTATGTCTTTAGATTACACGGAGGATGCTATGCTCCTGATTCAACAGCCGATTTGACATCCATTATAAAGTAGACAAATTGACAATTGATATTTTTACTTTTTAAAAAGACTATTTACAAAGAATCTGTGTAATTCAATATATCTTATATATTCAAAAACATACAGGCAACATATATGCTGTTTTAATTATGATATAATTGGTAATTTATCTATACCAAAGCGATATGCCTATGTAAGCAGATACATTCAACAAAAGGAACTGAGGAGACACGACGAAATATTTTATAAACCTCATCACAAATCAGCTGCTTCAGGGGAAAAGGAAGGTACAGTAAACATTTCTTCTACCACACGTTTCGCCCTGCACTTTTTTCAAGACATTTGGTAAGTCACTTACTGTTGATGACAATCTTTAACGTGGTACATTGAGATAATGAAACAATTTCATCGACGTCGATTAAAGTCTCTTTAAACAAGTCTTTGACTAAATTATACATTAATCAAAAGCACTCCACGCATTCATCAATTTCACCTTTTGACTTGGAAGCAGTTGTGATGTGGTGAAGTTATCAAAATCAATAGTCTCGATAACCTTTTCCTCACACGTTATGATTTGGTGCTAATACCTTTCTATTATATATTTACCTTGATATCGAGGTGGTTCCCATTTTTCGTTGGTGGCCATCTGTACAAAGCAAAACCGATTTTATTAACTTGCATGTTAATTGTAAGTAATCTCTATCAGATAATATTTAACAAAATATCATTATAGATATATTTGCAATTTACCTGAAGTGACTTACTAGACTACACTAGACCGAAATAATAAATCAAACAGTTTGACAAACAGAACTGTTCATGATAATTACTTTACCTAGTGATTGTACAGACTTTAAACATGTTAGTACATTGTCTTCAAAGTAAGACAAAATAAAATATGACAGAGAAAAATAACACATACTCCCGTCGTTATATTTGTTGACGATATGACGTTAATTCTGTTGAAAAAGGTAGATTGCTAAGGTAGGCAAGTTATCCTCGTGACTAAATGCTTCCCACCACACTTTAACCGATTAAATAACAAGCATGTTACTTGCCAAATATCATCACCCTAGGCCTATTGCTAATCAAAATAATTTGTTTAAAGGTTTTAAACATATTTGATCCATGTGACCTTGAGTATATAAGTCAGGGTCATTCCTTTTATCAATGTTAGTAGCCCTTTATCCCAGCATGTTGTTGGCTAAATATTATCACCCTAGGCCTCTTGATTATTCAGAAGAAGTTGTTGAAAGGTTTTTATCATATTTGACCCCTGTTACCTTTTACCATATTTGACCCCTGCGACCTTGAATATAAGTCAAGGTCATTCATTTGAACAAACTTGAGCTAATAATTAAATCACTTCTAGAATTAACTTATTATTAATGTTGATATACACTGTGAAAATTGTTTGGCAAGTTACAGTTGTGGGACCGCAAAACGCACCAAAAAAAACGTGCGCACACCGTGCATACATCGTTCACACACCGTCCGCACATCGTCCACACATGGTGCGCACAACTGTGCGATTTAGCAATCGTTCGCCCCGTTGTGCGCTTCTCTCCGCACAACTGTGCGATTTGGTATCATTTGTAGATCAAAATTACGGAATGACAAAAATACGGAAGGCTTGTATGCGATAATGTACACTGTGTATATATCTGTAATTTCTCATCACAATAATCAAGATTATACAATTTCACAATGCGTGTTACACAGTATTACAGCGACCGTTAGGCTGTCAAGAATGGGTTTGGCTCCAAGGTAACAGAACAGGTAAATAACAATTTTATGAGTGTCCGGAGTTTTACCTGACCAGTGCCTGACACACAGAGCTGATATGCGATACCGTTTGACCGTAATGAATAGTATTTGTTATTTGCATTCGTTTGCCTATAGCTCCCCTTCATCTGGATTTTCACACCCCCGGCCTTACCCGACGAGTTACGTAAGTGCCCCAGGCGGGGAGAAAACTACGGTCCAGGTACATGTACAAAGTGGTTATGTTTACCTGTATACGGGATTGTGTTGTAATTTTACATGTGTCGATTAAGTTTGTTTAAAAACACAGAAAACACAATTACTAAATAGAAGAATGTATAGACAGAAAGATAAGTTTATAGATGTTGCTAGAATATAGAAACATTACGTAAACACCAAGTGTATATGTTTAAACACGAAACCGTATAAATTGTTAAGTCATTCCTCAATTTACACCAACCACGATTGTTATCGCACAACGTCCGTCCATCGTGCGCACAGATGTGCGCAAGCAATGATCGTCCAGGTTTTTATCGTTCGCCCATCGTGCACACACCGTTCACACACAGTGCACACATCGTGCGCACACCGCACATCGTGTAACGTTGTGCGATCCCACAACTGTACTACACACCTGTGATAAAATATCGATATCATGGAATTCATTAGTATATTCTGACAGCGAACAGACAGACAAATATCTAAGTAATTACCCATTATCAAATGCATAATTCAGGTAAATATGGGACTGCAAGTCCCAAGACAGACGAACACAACACAATCGTGTTAGACTCATTTACATGCTTTGACAAGTGATAGTGAAATAGGGGGGTTTACAAACATAGGAGTGACTCAGATGGGGAAAAGAACAAGAGGCCAAATGGGCCTGCATCGCTCACCTGATATTAATCTCACACTTGTAACCTTAAAAGTGATCTAAACTAGAGCTACATACAAAATATCAGTATTTATGACTATAAGTCATTCAAAAGAACCTGTTCAAAGATTCTAAATCATTTGACCCCCTGTCACCTTGAAAGTCATTACATTGAACAAACTGTATAGCCCTTAATCTCCGCATGCAATTGCCAAATATCACCAACCTAGACCTTTTGTTGATTGAGATTAGGTCATTTAAAGGTTTCTACATATTTGACCAAATGTGACCTTGCAAAAAGATCAAGGTCATTCAAATGACTTTATAGCCCTTCATCCAAGCATGCTACTGGCAAAATTCAACATCGTAGGACTCATGGTTATTCAGAAGAAGTCATTTATAGATTTTAAACAAATATGACCCCTGTGACCTTGAATTAAAGTCAAGGTCATACATTATAACAAATTTGGTAGCCCTTCAAATGCTAGCCATCCATCCCAGCATCCTACTGGCTAAATATCATCACCCTTGGCATTTTGGTTATTTAGAAAAAGTCGTTTAAAGTTTTTAACACATTTGACCCTGTGGCCTTAAATATTGTTGAAGATTATTTATTTGAACAAACTTCGTAGGCTTTCATCCAAGCATGCTACTGACCAAATATCACCATCCTTGTCCATTTGGTTATTCAGTAGAAGTTGTTTTATACAAATTCGACCAACGTGACCTTGAATATAGGTCAAGGTCATTCATTTGAACAAACTTGGTAGCCATTCATCCAAGCATGTTACTGGTCAAATGTCATCACCCTGGACAATTTGGTTATTAAGAAGAAGTTGTTTAAAGTAAAATATTGACGCTGGACGACGGACGACGCGCCACGCTATAAGCTCACTCAAAATATAATTAGCTAGTTGGAATGCGGAATTATTGCATTAAATGAGCTATACAGACACAGTATTTATCTTTTTATGTGAATTTTAACTATATAAGGGTTGTTTTTAAAGTTAAATATTTTAAATATTAGCTTAATAATGCAAATGATGTAGTTTCGGATTGAAGTCACTAGTTTGCATTTTCTACATGTTCATATAGTGCAATATCAGTGGGTTAGTTCATGTATATCATAATACAGACTGTGATATTGAAAAAATACATTTATATATATATATATACTTAGAACATGTAGCCAATGTACTCATATACATGTATGTATCAAAAAATGATCACATATCTATTATATAATGCGCACTATTATGTATAATAAACATTTAAGTCGCATAAAGATGTATTATTCAGTTAAATGTTTCTAAACATTTTTTCAGTTTGGTAAGTATAGATTATGAAAAGTTCTTTTTACACAACCAATACAATTTCCTATGTGACGATTCGATGACTAGTACGACAAATGACCAGTGAAGCGTATGCACACAAAGGTGTAAAATGTGTACGAGCTGTCCATAAAATCGATGTTGATTTCGGCCACGCTGTAAGCGTATGTACAATTGTTGCTATATATATTCCGATTCCGCTACGCTTTGCGTAATACTTGGTCATAGCTGTGAGAGAGTTTTTGAGCTCAAAGAATTCTTGGACATGTCGTACTAGTCATCGAAACGTCACATAGAGAATTTTATTGGTTGTGTAAAAAGAACTTTTCATAATCAATACTTACCAACCTGAAGAAAATGTTTAGAAATATCCGAAAAAAGTACGGACAAGATATTGTCAAAGATGTGCGGAAATTAGAGAGCCTAGAAAAGAAATTTGCCAAACATAGAAATTACCTAGTGTTTATGCTGAGATGGAGAGACTTGCATATAACACCTTCAAGTATGAATATTAGGTGCCCAGTAAAAAAAATTAATGCTAGAAATATGATCAAGAAAGCACAGAAAGATCTATTGAAAGGTAAAATACGGGTTGTAAACAACAAAATAGACTCATACAAGCACGATATAACAGTTCTCACCGATAAACTGACCCAACGCTTATCGAGTGACACTGTAGTGGTTATGAACAAAGACATGAAGAGTATAGGTGAACGAGCGCTCGACGCAACTAAACAACGCCACTTGACTAAATTAAACCGTCTTGTAGAAAAATCAACACAAAACAACACCAACACATATGCAGGTCTGAATGATTTTATGCTAAAAATAATTGGTAGTCAATATTTCTAATAAGGAGCTCACCATTAGCGAGAAAACGTTACTGGCTAAGGTTATGAACTATGCCATTGTTTCAGATAAAATCCCTGTTGATATTTTCGTTATAGCCACAGAACAGGCATGTAAGAAACTAAGCTGTGCTGAGGCTAACCAACTGAGATCCCAAGTGACGGGGGTTTTGAAGTCCACAAAATTACCAACAAGTAATATGACGAAAGAAGAACGGGTCGCACTCCAAACATTAGGCAGAGACAAATCCATTGCCATACTACCAGCTGACAAGCGGAAGGCAACAGTTGTCATGGACACTGAAGATTATGGGGCCAAGGTCACAACAATGCTACAGGACAACACGACATATAAACAGCTGCAGACCAATCCAATTAAAACGTTTAAAAGGCGTCGTATGGCCCTCCTGTCAAAATTAAAACAAGAGAGCAAGATTACCGAAGGCCAATACAGATATCTGCATCCCACAAGCAGGGAAACCCACTGGGGCCTATAATGGATTACAATGGATCCATTGGTTACGATGTTTCAAGATCATTAGAAGACATTCTTGAACCATAAATGGGTAAATCGGAACACCATGTAAATCATTCGAAACATCTAGCGGAAGCTATGTCTACCATCACGATTCAAACACAAACCTCCAGATTCAGGACATCATGGATTTGCTGGAATTTGTGCTGACAACAACATATTTTAGTTTCCGAAAAAACCCACATCTTTCAACAACGCTTCGGCACTGCTATGGGTAGCCCATTGTCTCCCATTGTGGCAAATTTGTTCATGGAACATCTGGAGCAAGAGGCAATAGCCACTGCCCCCAAG